CATTCAGCAAGACCCTACTGTGGCAAGCAGTGCTTCTCACCTAGCATAATGTTACGTGTTTGGAACTTTCCCGCCTTGTCTGGTTCAGGATGATGATGTGCAGCGGCAATAGCCAGAATGAGCCTGGCAGTATCCCAATGATGTCCTGCCACAGCCAAAGACAATGGGTTACTGACTGGAAGGAGATGTCAGTATCATCGACAGTCCGCGCGTATTCCTACTCACTAGCCCACGTGGTTGTAAGCTGCGCCACAATCTGCAGCGGCTGTTCTTGCGACTTGCTGCCCAGACACAGCTTCTGGACCTTCGCATTATCGCCATTCGCGCAAGCCTCGAACAGCTCATCGTAGCGCGCCGTCAAGTGAGAAGGGACTACGGTGGTTTGCCACATTCCTGTTCGTTGCCTGCGTTCGTAGCGAAAGTGCGACGAGTTCTGCACGGGAAGAATGTACGAGGAGTTGAGATAACCTCTGGCCCCCAAGCCAGCCTTATTGTCCGGATAGAGCTCGTCCCACGTCTTTGCACCGTCCAAGAGACCTTCCACTGCACTGAAGTATTCCTTCGCCTTGCGCTGGCGCTCCTTATCCGCTACTGGGTCTGGCTTTTGGAAAGTTGCAGATTTCTGTTGCACTCTCAACTGCCGTACAATCTTGCCAACTTCAGCTTTCCAGCCAGGTGTTGATGCCCATCTGTCCAACTCGTCCGGTGCAACAGACTCTGCACGCTTCTCGAGGTGCTGCAAATGGTCCTCGATCGCGCGGATGGCGCAACTCACCCAGTCGATCAGGGTGACGCGACGATCGGCAGCCCATGAGTTCTTGGCGTTCTGAGCTGCATCTCTCGTCGGAAGGCTGACTGCTGCACCCAGTGCCATGACGAGAGCAAGCCATTCCAGCGAGTCGTCCTGACGCCCGAGAACAAATTCCACTGGCATCGCGACAAAATGCAGAGGGTTCTGGTCGCCCATGTGGTTCCTGTGATGTTTCCTACAGACGTTGGTGAGCAAAACTCACGCACATACCAAGGCATAGCGACCGCACAAACCTGAGTTCCATAAACCGACTGAATTCTTCCTCTGTAACGTTGAGCTTGGCGCCATATGCAAGCAGAAGCGCGAAGATGGAGTACGACCCTTGTGTGATGGCAGATATGATAGGATAGACAGCTATGTTCCAAAACTGTCCGAACGCCGGCGTGTTGACAGCCGCTTTTGCGTTTGGTTCATATTGAAAGAAAGCGCGAACGAGCTCAGTGTTACCGGAGCACACTATCTTGTGCAGTATAGTGAATAAGTCTTCGTCAGCCTCAGAGGATACCGCGCCCGCGGCGAAGAGCTTTTTGGCGATCTCCTTGGCTGTCTCGTTGTTCTCG